CAAGCAGATTACTTCCTACTTACGGAAGTTTGCAGAAAAATTGCGAGATATAGAGCACAGAAGAAACGTTCCGCACAGATTCTCCTTGAAAAGACCATCACTCGAGGACTTCAACACTTGTTTCCACCACACAAATTCCCTTTAATAAGGTCTAGGCAATGATAAACCAGCAGAAATAATGATTAACGCACCAAAATGCAACGCAGCTACTTTTGAGCACTTAAGATTATATACACACGCACCTTTTTAGACCGTGCTTTTTGTGCTACTACGATAGTGGAACCCTGCGAGGAAGCAGCCCTTACGAAGTCTGGAGCCCTTTTTCTTGCCGAAAACTTGAAAGTTGACAATCACGCCAAACCTGCTCTTTTAGCATAGAACTTTTTCCTGAACAGGATACAGGCTGAATAACTAGCGCAACGCTGCAATGCAATGCAAACAGAGATAGAGTGGGAAAAAAGTGCATAGTGCAATATGACAGATAAGGCTAAATTCTGTTTGACAAAATATGAACTTTTTCTAGAAAACTTTAAATCAAAAGTAAATCTTGTCAATGAAGTTATTCTTGCTGTTTGTGGGCATCTGCGCCAAATGTTGCATACTAAACATTCCGTCCTTAAGATAAATTACAAAATACTAAAGAATTCTAATGAACTTATTTGAAAAAATATGTGTTGAAAACAACTTATTGTGTTTCTTAAATCTATAAACAGCACTTACCCCACTAAAATCTGCACAAAAATGGCTCTATTATTTCTGTGGAGAGGCAGTCTTACTTTACTCAGAAGAGATACACTGTCAGGATACCAGGGTACTCAAATCAGCTCAAGAAGTAAAGAGGAAAAGAATTTTAAGCAACTTTAGCTTGCCTAGGACACGTAATTCTCTTAGTTGGCATTTAGAAAAGTTTACTTTTTCGCAAAATTCAATGGAGAGAATAGGTGCTAAACCGGTTTCATTCCTCTAAATAATGAGTATTTTCTACTCTTACACTGTGCATATACCAATCTACTCTAACCAAGCTCAGGCTATTTCTTACAACCTTATGGATAAGTAAAACAATAGCGGTTGCATTATCTAGATACTTCTTTGATATGCACTATTACACTACCGATAAAACCATAGATTCCAGCCGAGGTCTTCTCACCGTCCAATACTCCAAGGGTCACTCAGTCCCTGGTCCAACGCAACATTGCTGCGCTAATGAGTGATGAATGCCATCGTCGAAATGGACAAAAGATTTGACATTCTCAAGGTTCTACGCCTTTCTGCGCTATTTTGCAATGAACAGTGTAGAGAATGGAAAATGTAAGGAACAGTCTGAAAAAAGGTATACGAACACCATTAAGCGTGCGAAGTTGAAAAGCATTCTTCGTAGATGCGTCTGACAAGATCTCAGCGTCTGACAGCTGCAGAGTTCTAGTTAGTGGCCACTTAAAATACTATAAAATCTTCGAATCTGAGTCTCTTGAAAATAGGCTGGTTAACGTATAATATTGCAAGTTTCCAATTGAAAGGGCGCCACTCGTACAAATTCATAACTTTAATTTCATTGACGTGTACTACCTACTTTCCTTCGAAGAAATCTTCAATAGGAGAAGTTGGTTAAGAAAATTAGCACCATCTGGTGAAGATGATCTGGAGAGATTAATTCAAAATTTAAAAAAATCAGCATCGACTGGACGTCAAACTCTCCTACATCGCTTCCTGAAGCTCCATCGCATACACTCAAAGTTTTTGACGCCACATAGAAGTCGAGAGGAAGAAATTTCGCCAGAAGGTAGGAAGACAAATCCGCATTCATTTAGGAATGAAACATAGGAAGTTACTTGGGAGGGAGGTCCGAGGTGAAGATGGCGGGAGAAATGGGTCAACGGGTCAAGGGTGAGCGCCGGGTGTAAAGTGCCATATGGACCGGAGCGATCGCTAAGTCCAGTCCGAGCAAAACATCCCGATTTCGAATCGAAGAACTGGATAGGCAGCCAAGTGTTTAACCAGCAAAACTGCTAGCTTACTGGTAGGATATCTAGGGCTATCCTGCTGCAGTGAATGCGCCGTCAATTCTATTCGCGAAAACCTTGTGGAGTGGTAATGAAAGCAAGCTGGAGCTTAGTATGAGATCCAAGGTTTCCTTAGTAACCCTCAGCTGACTATTTAGGTAAGTTACAGAAGATTATCTTAATAAGTTTCAAAAAATATAACTACTAAAATTTTACAAAGAAATACAACTAATGTGTACTGTACTTTTGAAAATAATTAGTGTCAAATCAAGAGAGTAAGAGAAAAGTCATCTTTAGAGCAAAAATATGTTCCATATGAAAGTTGTTTCCCCCAAAGGCTAATCTGCTCGGATCTGCTAGGTATTTTTAAGCAATAAGAAAATAACAATAACGCTTAAACCATTCTGAAATTGCCGATATGATAGTACCAAGAGCTTTTCACATGACATGCAAAAATAAGTGATAGGCAATAGTTTTAAAGTTTATTTCCATTCCATGGGCGTACGTGGAAGGTGACGCATATTAGAAACATTTTCGAAAGCACCAGCTGGAAATTCATTAGCTGTCTTTGCTTCTTTTGCTACTCCATACCTTCTCTTAGAAGCTTTAAAATCACATGCCGTGCAATTTCGGATCAAACCCTGCTTGAATTTTGAGCAGAAAAATCTAAGGACATCTTATTGAACTTTGAAAATTCAATTAACAGTAAAATGCTTCCAATGAAAATTGGTTCGCAATCAAGACCAAAGCGAAAATCTGGTTGCACTATATTTTGGCAATTTCTTAAGACTTTATTTGACCA